CTCAGACCAATCCAGTTGAGAATACTATACATGTCATCAACAGTTAATAAGCCATATCTGTTTCTCACTAACGTCCTGTCTCTCTATTGTTCACTTGCTATCTTTCTCTATCCTCTTCTCTTCACCTCCCCCATTCCACAATATTCAGTCATTTTTGAAAGCTGTTGTTTATAGACAGTATGGGACCTCAACAATCATTCAACATAAGTCAACTCTTTGTTTTTTTTTTTTTTTTTTTGAGAGGTTTTTGCTATAGGGCACGTGCGCTCGCCAGACAGACAGAGAGAGACAGAGAGACAGAAAGCGAGAAATCACCCCCCAGGGAGGATGGCCACGCCACAATCCCTTCTCCTTCATTCTCATCTCAGGATCTTGGGCATGCACGCACATGCACCCGGCGTGAGTCTAAGCCACTGGGTCCGGGACTCGAACCACGGTCGACTACATGGCAGTCCAGCGACATAGCCATTACGCTAACTGCTGGTCCCGAGTCAACTCCTTGTTTTACAGATGAAGTCCTTGAGACCATGAGAGGGAGATGACTTGGTCTAGTGACAGTGATGGAAACTTGTTTTTCTTTTACAAGCAAAATGCTTTTGACAGTTGAACACGGATAACATCAGTAAACAGTGCATTGGATATTGATCCTTCCCATGTGTTATGGTTGTTGTCTTAATCTCTGAGAAGGCCAGGAGAAATGCTTTCAAACCATAGGATAATGTTTTGCAAAGTACCTCAGAGAAATCTCAGAACTGCTCCTGAACCACCATCAGCAGGGTGTCCTACACTGACTGAGTCAGGGCCAGGGAGCACCCTCAGTTTACTGCCTTGGGCCTTTGGCAAGAAGGCTTTCAGCTCTGTTCCTCCAGGGGCCAGCTGTGAAATTTGGCATTAAGTAACATTTTTGAGCTAAGAACACTCAGGGCATGGCTTGAGCCACATGGCTTTTTAATGCCCAGGTTTCAGCTCTGCAAATGTTTCACTCTGTATTGATGCCAAGATGCTTGCCTGGGAAAGTCATGCCCTGGGAGTGGGGCTTTGGGGAAGAGCTCAGTGGTCCTCTCTAAGAAAAAATGTAAGGGGAGAATTTGGATATCTATAGGGCGTCTACTATATAGTAAATTTGACTAGTTTCATCTGAAGTTTCCCAATGAATAATGTTTGATGTGAGTTTATTGCTTAATAAAATTTACTAGAAGGGAGAGGGGCTGGTGGGGAGACATTTGGATTGATTTTCAAACAAATCAGGATTTAAGAACAATTTAGTATGAGGACTCTCATGCTGACCCTGAGCAAACAGCAGAGTCTTTTTCAACAAATTCTGCAGTTCTTTTTATGTAATATTATTCCTCTCAATGACCTAAAGATTCATTTTACTTCACCTGGAAAACTCTTTGCCCTTGAAGAATTTAGCTACAGACTTGCATGCTCAGATTTTGAGTGTTGTGAAAAATTTTCCTTAAAAATGAACCCAAAACCTTCTAAATGGCAGTCTCAATTTGTTAAAACATATGTCACAATTTTTCTCCCTGAGTGTTGTACCCTTGGACTTTTCAAGGCTACAGTTTACAACAGGATAGGTAAACTTTCAGGATGTTTGTACTGAAAGCCTGGGATTTGTCTGCAGAGGTGTGGAAAAGTTTGTTCAACTCATTCTGAGCTTAGAGCTGTGGTAAGAGTTTGTCTGTCATACATATGCTCAGTGGTTGTGTCTGTCCCTGAACATCTGGCTACAGAATTTCCCATCAGAATTCAGCCTCTGTGGGAGTGGGAAGCTGTGCATGGGCTCACTTCTTGGTCAGCTCCCCTCTCCTCTGTTATAAGTTTTGTAATGTATTATTTACAGAGGCTGGATGGTTTCACAGCCTAGAATATTTCCACAGCATTTGACCTGTGTTCCTTACACTACTGTTTAGTTTGTGAATACAGATCTGAAGAATTAATGTCTGGTTCAAACCCCGGCTTGTCATCCATTGGATTTTGGAGCAAGTTATGTATTCTCTCCTTACCTCAATTTCCTCATCTGTAAGATAGGATAGAAATAATAATAATAATAATAATAATAATAAAACTGATCTTGATGGGTTGTTGCAGGGATTAAGTGAGCTAATATAGGTAAAGTGATTACTTTGGAGCAAGTTATGTATTCTCTCCTTACCTCAATTTCCTCATCTGTAAGATAGGATAGAAATAATAATAATAATAATAATAATAGTAAAACTGATCTTGCTGGGTTGTTGCAGGGATTAAGTGAGCTAATATAGGTAAAGTGATTACTTTGGAGCAAGTTATGTATTCTCTCCTTACCTCAATTTCCTCATCTGTAAGATAGGATAGAAATAATAACAATAATAGTAATTAATAATAATAATAATAATAATAATAATAATAATGAAACTGATCTTGCTGGGTTGTTGCAGGAATTAAGTGAGCTAATATAGGTAAAGTGATTACAACCCAACACGTAATAAATTTCATCCTGATTGTAATAGTAACCCAACTTGCCTACATGTAAATTATTTTATCTTCAATGGCTCTTCCTGTCCTTTCTGCTTTTCCAAGATAATTATATGTCTTTTCAAATAATCTATTCGGTCTTTTGTATGCCCTTCATTTTGTAAGTGCTATGTGATGACATTTCCCTTGAGTTTCCTTTCTGTTTGTACCTTTTATAAAAAAATTATTTATTTTACATTCATTCACTGAACATCATCACAGCATACAAAAATGCAGTTTCCCATCCAGAATACACTGCATAGGGCTAAGTCATACATGCTATCATCAACAAATAATTTTCCATTTATTGTTTTATATATGTATATATTTCCCCCCACCCATTTCTCACCCTCTGCCATTTCCCACCCTCCTCCCACACTATCTCTGGTATCTGCAGTTGCTTTGCATTCTAGAACTTACTGGCTCATTTAATTGCCAGCCTGGAAGTGCGGTCTTGGGCTTTATAACACCTTCCTTCCTGCTCCAAAGGATTAATGCTTTTATTTCCCTTAGACAATTAATATATCTATAAATATGCCTGTAGCTGTATTGTCTAGCTAATAAGCAGTTTAATTAGATAATACTCATTGTAAAACCCTACAAGTGTTGCATTAATGTTCTTTCAGGAGGGGGAAAACTTCATCTGCTTCTTGAACTATTTTTTTCACATGTAGCAGGAGGTGAGAGCAGTAAGCCTTAGCAACCTCAGGAGTAGGTAGGGTACTTCTAGACAGCCACTTAGAAAATATTGGACTCAGGATGAAGCAAACATTAGAATATCTAAGTCAGAGTCATAGAGAACCAGGGAAGAACAGTCCTGGAGTTGTACCCTTGAGTGTAGAATTGAAATAGAAGCCCAAGGTCACTACCTGCAAGGCAAAGGAGGCAAGGCAGGTGGGGATAGTCAGTCAGAACAGGCAGGTAGCCAAACAATTTCTTAGAGACTTGTCTCAAGCTGCTTTCCAAGGGCTAGCTATGTACTTACCTACAGAGAACAAATCTCCCATTCTTTGAATAAGGTATTCCTTTGTTTAGTGGAGAAAAGCTTCTGAAAGCCTCTAAAGAAAGAGTACATGAGTATTAAAATGTTTTGACTATTTTCTCAGCTGGAAATGTCTTTAATTTACCAACACCCTTGATTGGAAGTTTGGATGCGTCTGAAATTCTAGACTTTAAGCCATTTCTCTTGGAACTTTGAAGGCATCCGTCATGATATTTTAAGTTCCAATGTTGCATTTGACAAGTCTGATGCCATTTTTTTTTATTATTTTTCTTTTTTAAAAAGCAGGTATACTTTTATAAAATGTATAGTTTGATGGATTTTTACAGATACATTTACCCATGCAACTCCACACACATCACCAAACTAGAAGGTTCCTATATGTCTCTTATCTGACTTTTTCATTATAGGTTAGCTTTAGCTATCCTTCAATTTCAATTGTGTCTGGCTGCTTCAGCTCAATGGAATGTCTTTCATATTCATCCATGTTGTTGCATATATTAGATTTTCACTTGTTTCTATACCACATAGAATTATGTAATTTATCTTTTCTGTAGACAGGGTTGTTTTCTGATTTTGGCTACTATGAATGATGCTGCTATGAATGTTCTTGTACATGACTTTTAGACAATATACACACATATTTCTTTTCTTTTCTTTCTTTTTTTTTTTTTTTTTTTTTGAACAGCAGCATCTATGTATTGGACAACTCCAGGTTCTCTCCTAGTAAGGTACAGCCCATTGCTTTATTTGAGTATTGACAGATCAGCCAGTTAGGGGAGAGGAAAGGAAAAGGCAGATGCAACTGAAAGAGACAAGCATGTGGGAAAATGTACTATAGACTGTTTATTTTTGGTGGAAGGAAAAAAAGAACTTTAATATCCCACTCATTAGTAAAAGTGGGATAGGAAAACTTTGACTATTTTTAATCTGGTATTTATGTATATATTCTCATTTAATATGTACAGTTTATTTGCGCAAGACTACCATCCACTGGCAGAAAACTTGAACGTAAAAACAAGTATTAGGAAGGAAAAACTATTAACAAAAGGAAGCTTCAGAAGATGGCTTCAGGAGGGTGGCGGCGTGCAGGGCCTGGGACAGTGTCAGTAGAAGCAGACCGTGTGCAGAAAAGTCCTGCCACTCTTCTCCTCCAACTCCTGCAGCAGCTCGTCGATCTCGTTCTCCATGTCTTCCGTGTGCTGAATACACTGGCAGAGTTCACAGATGAGGAAGGACCCCAAGGTGGCCTCTTCATGGTTGTCCTGGACGCAAGACTACCATCCACTGGCAGAAAACTTGAACGTAAAAACAAGTATTAGGAAGGAAAAACTATTAACAAAAGGAAGCTTCAGAAGATGGCTTCAGGAGGGTGGCGGCGTGCAGGGCCTGGGACAGTGTCAGTAGAAGCAGACCGTGTGCAGAAAAGTCCTGCCACTCTTCTCCTCCAACTCCTGCAGCAGCTCGTCGATCTCGTTCTCCATGTCTTCCGTGTGCTGAATACACTGGCAGAGTTCACAGATGAGGAAGGACCCCAAGGTGGCCTCTTCATGGTTGTCCTGGATGTCCACATTGACCACATGCACTGGCTGGCAGGTCTCCTGTTCTCTGGAATTCAGATCTTCCACTACCTGGTCATAGACTCTTTCTTCACAAGTGAGGATCAGATCAAACAGGTCTTTGCAGTTCTGGAACCTTTCTGGCCGAGGCTTGATTCTCTTATTTCTGTCCAACATATGTAAGATGCCATTCTGTGTATAGAGTTCTTTGTCTTTCTTAAGAAGGTCATTGTACATCTGACCATATATGGTTTTGAAATCATAAACATTTGGCTTGTTGGGTGCTGGTCCTGGAAGCTTCACATGAGTCCCAGTTCCAAAGGATCGGACACTAAATCCTCGTTTGCTGAGGATGTTGTGTGCCTCCATACTTCGGTTCTGGTTGCTGGAACACACCTAGGCCACCCGCAGCGGCGACGATGGCTTAGCTGCGGCCGCACGGCTGGACCCACAACATTCCAGGAAACCCACCAGCTGGGGCGCTTCCGCGCGGGCCCACACACATTTCTTAAGTAAATGCCTTGGAGTGAAATTGCTAGATACTGGGGTTTTAGGCACTACCAGATAGTTGGACAGTTTCTCAGAATACATACACTATTCTTAACAATGAATTAGAGTTATAATTGCTATGTATCTTCCCAATATGTGATACCATCAACTTTTAAAATTTTAGACATCCCTGTGGGTGAGTTGTGCTATCTCATTGAGGTTGTCTTTTTACTTTTCCTAATGAGTAATTATGTTAGACATTTTTTCATATGTTTACTAACCAATTAGATATCCTCTTTTGTGAAGTGCCTACTCTTTATTTATTTATTTATTTTTGCCTATTTGTTTATGATCTCATTATACATTGTATACCTTCTGTGGCAGACTTGAGTAATTTCATCAACCTGAGGTTCCCATTCCTCAGTATGCAAGATTACACTTTCTGTTCCCTTGAAATGATGTATGGTCACATGACTCTCTGGCCAGTGAAATATGAATGGAAATATGCTGAAGCATATGTAGAGGTTTAAGTATGATTCTCCATCTTCTTTCTTTGCCAAGGCAATTAGCTAAATTCCACATAGTGGAGTCTCTGTCAGCCTCTGTCTATGAATGAGGATAAAGTTGAGCAAACCCCATCTCCCCAATCTGGACATATAATCTGAGTGAAATAAGAACATCGTTATTGTCTTAGGCCACCGAGATGTTGGGATTGTTTATTACTGTAGCATAATCTGACCTATCCTGACCAATAGGAGGGGATCTTCAAAAATTTCACAGACAATGCATATTATGACAAAACTGTATGAACTTCTATATGTCTTTGCACCAAAATAAACTTGTACTTTAACTTTATTTTTCCATGGACTTTTTGAATTCCCTATATGTGTTCATCATAGCCATTACCCTATTTCTTAACATTAGTCTACTATTTCTTTGAGGTCAAGGACCATATCATCACTTTCTTTTCAGAATAGGTACTTTAAAACATTTGTTAGCTAGTGGTAGACTAGAAAACTTCATGTTTTGAGCATCTTTGAAATAACTGGCACTGTGCTAAGGATTTTACCCATGTTATTTAATCTTCACAACAACTCTATGAGGTAGGTATGATTATTACTATTTTACTAAGAGAGAAAATGGTTCAGAAAGGTTTAGGTGATCCAATTAATATTACACAGTTAGGGAGAGGGAGACCTAGCAATCAAACCCAGAGTTCTGATTTTTTTTTTTGAAGAGGATTTTGCTATTGGGCACGCGTGCTCGTCAGAAAGAAAGAGAGGGACAAAGAAACAGAAAGTGAGAAATCACTTCCCAGGGGGGATGGCTGCACTGCAATCCCTTCTCTTCCATTCTCCTCTCAGGATCTTGGGCATGCACGCCTGGCATGAGTTTAAGCCTCTGGGACTCATCTGTGGTTGACTTCATGGGAGTCCAGCGACATAGCCATTATGCTAACTGCTGGCTAGAGTTCTGATTCTTAAGCTTATACTCATTCTACTTTATGCTGCCTTAGGAGTAACAGAAGAATGCTCCTTCTACAGGGAGGTTCCTGTCAAAGCAGTTGTGAGAATCAAATAAGTAAATAAGTACAATTTAAAACATATTTTTAGCATCTACAGAGAAATGAACAATTCTTCAGATAACTTTCTAGTTCTTGAGGAAAAGCCAATCACATTCTGTATGCCCAGTGAAAATTCCATCTGCTGCCCAGAGCAAAAGCCAGTGCAGAGCACCAGTTGGTCAACTCAGTTCTGGTTGGCATGGCTGACTTCTGGAGCAGTCACAGTGGTGGCCTCTGTGAATATGTACTAATGACCATTGACAAGGTATGGTTAGCTTCTAACCCTGGTATAGAATTCTCAGAATATATCCTCTCAAGGGTGCATCAGCTGGTAACTCAGGCAGCTGTTAGATGATGGGTTGAAGTGGGTTGACAGTGGAATGAAAACATCTTAGAGCCTTATGGAAGTATAGCTTTGAGCACCATGTTTAATTGAAGGAACAGCCACAGCTAAGGGCTGACTGATGTTTCAGGCTGGAGAGAGCATCCAAGAAGGAAGTAACCACAGCTTGAGAGGCAAAGGGATTGAATGTCAATAACTGACAAGTGGAGGGTTTTCCCATGTGTGTAGGGA